CATCCTTATAATGTTTTTTCTAATTCCTCAGGAAAAAAAAAAAAGAATCTCAAAAAAGATCTATCACCTTGACAACAAAGCATTGCCAAAAGGCAAGGGTCTTGTTTTATTCCTTGCATTTCCTACTAGGATTAGCTTCAAGTCCCCTGTCTTCAACAAGAGACAAAGGGGCTTTTCTTTCGTTTTCCTAAATAAACACTTCATTCTTACCACATCAGACTTATTTTTAGAATATTTGAATAGAATATCTTTAAGTTGTCAGTTGTTACTGTATAAATAGTTACTAAGGAAGGAACAGTAGCTGCTTCCTTAAGCAACAGTAGCAAAAAAGGATGAAACAGCAGGTGATTTCTTAGTAGAGACAGCAGAGACAGAAGACTAAGAGCAGCAGTTCTCTTCTACTGCAGTATTTAAAAAATGTAGAAATGCCATCCACTAAAGTATTGATATTTTAAGTTAGAAAAATATAGCAAATCTACCTCAAAGTGGCACATTTACTAAAGAGTTATAAGAAAGCATTTTCCCCGCTTCTGAAATTCATCCCTTTCTCATTTTGTAGCTCCTTAGTTTTTTCTTTTACAGTTGCAGACATATTTTCTCTAATTTTAGGGTTATTTGCCTACTCGAGAGCAATCCTAGGAATTCACAAGTCAAGGATCTCACATTCAGAACCACATCAAAGATTGCCAGCAAGGCTACAAGTTCCCTGTATCACCAGAAAGTATGTATTTAGGTATAACATTGTTATTTAGGGAGGGGTTTGTCAGAAAAAGGGTTTGGTTCCTATTTATTTATTTAGATATGAACACTGTCAGATGAGAACACTGGTGCAAAGAATTTGGGTTTGGGGACTAAAACTCCTTACCAGGGCTTCTACTGAAGCCCTCACCTTAGAGGATGGATTCAGTAATTTCACAGTTGGAGATTACCATTGTGCCCATTCTTATTCACTTTCAGAGCACGAGAGCAGTCCTCTGCACCCAATCCACTAATGAAGCCACTAGCACCTGCATAATTTAGATTTGATTATACTGCTGATGTGATCACTTCAGAAAACTGGCTGCTGCACACTGTTCTGGCTGTAGTCACTAGGGGAAGATATTACAACAGCAGAGCTCCTCTGGGAAAAAAAAGGCGGACTTGTCCACATGGGACAATTCAGGACGGGTTATATGAATTAGCTAGAGATTTGCTGTAGATTAGTTATAATCGTATAAAACCTCTGGGTGTATACTTTTAGTTAGAATTAAGTTGTCCTAATTAAATTAGATTAACTTACTTCCAAATGTTTTACACAGCTAGTGATAACAAACCAAGAGCAGAAGACACGTAAGGGTATCTAAAATGATCTGCTGACGAACACAGCCGCTCTCCCTTTGTGCCTCATGAATATCACATCTCACAGCAGAACGTGACAACTGGAATGGAGGAAATTGAGTTCAAGGATACGACAGGCAGAGAACTGGATGTCACCATCATCTTCAGAAGAAAAGTAGTTGGAGCCTGGGCACTAGCCCATTATATTGCTTCCAGCTAGAGGGATCATCAAACATGCCTGGCTCATGATATCCTTTCAGGCAAGTGGGAGCCAAGCATCTTTGAAGCTAGCCTTAGTGACAGTTATCTTACCACCAACTTGTCTGGGATAGACAGTTATCTTACCACCACCTTGTCTGGGATAGACAGTTGTGGTTCATCAAACACTGGGGACAGGTTTCATACAGGATATGCTGCACTTCCTAGGATTCTCTACAGAGAGGGAACAAGTTATAGTATTCAGCAGGGAACCAGAACCCTAATACTCTGTGTTGGAAGTGGACTGGGGCTTCACAATGAGGTAAATATAGGCAGTTTAGTATCAAAAGCAAACTTATTAAGAGCCATACCTTGGCATGGCAATTCAGCTGAGGAGACAACCAGGTGTACCACACAGTCACCCGAGGGCTTCCAATTCCCACCCTGACAGGAGTATTTCTGGGGTGTTCAGTTTGCTCTTCCCAGAACATCAGGACAAGCCTGGAAACTCTAAGGAGCTTTTTCAGAAGAGGATGACAAAAAGGCAACACCATGCTTTAGTGGAAAGTCCCTGGTGGCCAATAGCAAGAGCAAAGCTGGCACAACCCTAGGCATGCAGAGGAGGTCTGAGTGGGCAGAGAGACTGCAGCTTTCTTTTCGTTTGTGGAAGCCTCTGAAAGCCAAAAGGCCGAGAAAGTGGAGGAGAAGGCCAAGAGCTGAAGCTGTCACAGGTTCATTCAGCTTTCCACTTGTCCAAGTGAGAACTGGGCAGCCGCTGGCTCCAGCTGCAGTAGTGCTCGTAGTACACTTCGGGGTGAGGACGTGGGATCTTGCATCATCTGTCCAGTTTCTCAAAGGTACTTGAGGGGAGATGAAAACTGCTGGTGTACAGCAGGAAAGTTTGGTGTGCTGGGAGGGAGGTGCTGCAGGGCTGAGAGGTGTGGAGGTCTACTCACCTTTTTGCCTGCAAATGCTCATGAGTGTCCCCAAAGCCAAGGCAATGCAGATGGCCAGGCATGTATTTGATCAAAACAGACTCAGGTTATCTGTCCTTAAAATGTACTGCACTCTGCTTTCTGCATGGCAAGCCTCAGAAATACCAAAATTAGACTTCAGAAGAGTATAAAAAGCTCCCTACTAACATAATGTGCAAATGGACTGTCACATTCCCTGTGATCTTGGACAGCAACAAAATTAGAAGGCAACAGCAAAGAAAATTGCAGCTGAAAAATACCAACATTATCCTTTTTCAATACATATTGTTAAAATGGACATTTTTAAAAGCTGAAGAGATGTGAGCCCAGATGCTATCACCGTATGTCTTATGCAGTTCATGATTATGAACGAACAGTAGAATACATATAAGGGAATCTAAAGTGGTATGGATACGAGCCCAGCTGGCGTCCCCATATGCCTTATGAATTCCATTTTTAGGAACACAGCAGCATATAGCATTAGAGATGCTTCTTAAACATCTCATTTATAAATAGAGTGGAACTGTTTCTCTGAAGTACACTCAGAAAAGGTCCACAAGGATCACAAAACCAGGTGCATTCAAAACTACTGAAATGGTTCAACCACAGTGTTTTTATAGGAACCACTCTGTACCAGAATATTCCCTGAATGAGGGATGATGCTTGTTTGTCATAGGCTCCTCACTGGGATTTTTTAAAAAGCAACCACCAAAAAGCTATGTTAGTCAGAAAATACCAACTTACTTTTGCTTCGGTAAACTGTTCCTACTGAAAGCTTTCTCAGGTCCAGAATGGAAGAGCAAATGCCCAAGCTCCAGAGCAGTGGAGAGGTACAGGTGTAGGAGACATAAATTCTTGCCTCTTCTGAAAATCAATCAAAGTAGGGTGTAGAGCTTGTCCAGTCCACATCCTGGGCAGAGTCCTTCACCAACAGGCTGTGGACTCTTCTGCAATACAGCTCTTCTTCTCCTGCTTTTCAGTTTCAACAGAACCACCTCTGAGGGACAATAGTTAACTGTGGGGATTCCTAGTTAATTGCAAAAATATATCACCAAATGCACTTGACTGAAAATCATCATTTCATTATAGGTACACCATCAACCAAAATATATCCAGAGCAGATATCTAAAAAAGATACACCACATATGAATGAAAAATTACTTTATTTAAAAATACATTATACAGCAGAGTGTCTCTCTTTTTGTTTTCTCACTGCTGGTTCACAGAGATAATATGATAAATTTAACCCAAATATTTGACTGGGAAAGATCCTGAGAGAGAAAGAGACCAGTTACAAGCTGATGATATACAGTACACTGAAAAAGAGTCATCTCTTTTAACATAAAAGAATCTCTTGGTAATCTTATAAATCAGATATAAAAAATACAGGTTTGCTACCATGCAAAAATGAGTGAAGATTTTGTTTAAATCTGCACACACAGAAATCGTTAGTACCTTGGACCCTAAATAGCTAGACTAAGAGAAGGGTAAGTGTGCCTAATATGGTGATACAAACTTTGGACCTACTACAATCTTGTAAACACAGCTGACAGTCTAATAAAGGTGGATTTTCAATCACTTAAGTAACATTGTTGTGGCTAAGGGCTCTATTCTAGGACTTTTCTCCCCACTAATGCATTTCTTTAATTCTCAGCTTAACACAATGACTTCATGAGATACGCTCTATTGCACTCAAAGATCACTTGGCCTTGCCCTGTTTGCCAAGCACTATTTAGGTAGTTGTATTTTAGTGAAAGCAGAGGTTAAAATAGAATGTAAAAAGCAGGTGTTACCTGGATAACTATGTAGGAATGCATTAAAATTCTTCATAGAAAATACATACCTGATTCTACAGCCTCACATTTCAAACATCTTCTAGCAATGATTAATCCACAGGAAATACACTGAATTATGGAAAATTTAAGGCCTAGGATGTTCAACAGCCTGCACTGAACATTACTATTCTCAGTGTGTCTATAGTGCTAGCATTGTATCAACCGCTGCCAGAGGAAAACTTCCTGGCAGGTGTTAAGAGCATCTTCAGCATCTACAATATCCAGATCCATTTAGCGCTCAATTTTTATAGGACAACTTCACTATGAATAGTCAGCTAGGCTGTTTTTGGAAAGGGAGGCGCAATTTGATTATTCACAGCAATAACAGAGATATGATAACATTGCCTGATGTTGAAGAAAAATCAATTTGTCAACACTGCACAGACTGACAGAGGAATATTTGCAAGAATATGACCCTGAAACGCAAACAGAAATACAAAGATCTGTAGAGAGAAAGTCTGCCTGTTCTGATCACTTAGGCTGAAGAAAATTAATGAAGCCATTTTGTTTTTTCCATGAGTGCTCCAACGTGAAAACAGAGAATAGAAACTCATATGCACTCTTCTCACTAAGCCAGTGACCCTCTTATCATCTTAGCACCCATTCTGCCAGCACAATATCAGGGTGTACAACAAATATGAGAAGATGCAGGCTTCCTTGAATAATTTGTTTAGGCGATGTATGAATAGCACGGCTTCCCATCAGATAAGCTGAGCTAAGAACGGAACCCTTAACCTTTCAGGGGCTATCATTAGTAATAAAGAATATATCAATGATCAAACTTTCTATATTATTTTCATTTCTTTTAACCTAGATACATATATATCATCCAAGACATTCAAGAACTACAAAACAACGATTCAACTACAATTATGTCAGGAAAATATCCAAATAAATAAACTTTTAATTATGATACAATACTTATTACAGTAAAAATTGGCATTTTTTTCTCTTCAAAAGCAGAAGCACCAGTCTTACATATAACATACTGTTTGAATGATATCTTACATGGAATACAGCGTAATACAATGTGCAAACAGCATTTTCATACAGAACATAATATTTGCCTAGTTTTTATACACTGAAATCGCCTCAAATGGAAACAAGTTCATGCTGAATTAAAAATGTAGATTTTAAAACTCAAAAGTCAAATCAAAATATGAAGTACTTTTGGAATAGGTACATGAACCATTAAAAACAATGAAAACCGAAAATAGAGGGTACTGTCAGATAAATGTAAGTAGTGCTCAGTTTGTCCCATTCCATCAAAAAGTAAACAGTTAATATTTTTGCTAGAAAGTAAAGTGACGTTCTAATATTAAAGAATTCTTCAAAATGTTGGTATCATTTTAATGACGTAAAAATCAAGTCAGAAATAGGACTTCTAAAAATTTCTTATTTTTGATATACTGCAATTATCGTGTGTGGGCTGTGAAAAGAGATGAAGTCCAATGGAGTGCATATACATCAGCGTCAACATCATGTGACTTCTGCAAAGGCCGTGATGTGGTTCTACGAGTTAAAGGAAAAACAAACAGATAAAAACCCATAAACCACACAGACAGACATCCATCGGCATTGTGAAAGTTTTTGCCTGTTGTGCTCCAGGAACAGCCTTACACTCAGAGACTATTGCAGGATGATGTAAATAAAACTGCTTTTCACTGCAGTACTCTCACTCATTGCCATAGCAATTCTTTATTAACCGTTGGAAGACTGGATATAAAGTATGCTGAACAGAGTAATTAGGTGCAATGGTTCCATGATATTTTAGTTTTAGATGAGGTTTTTAAAATCAAGTAACAAAGTGAGTAATTGAGTTAGCTGTGCTTTTATTGCTACCTTATTAATAATTTAGAGCAAAATCCCTAGAAATTAAAATTACAGTTTGAGAGATTATAAAATTTATTTCAGTGTTAATACAATTTTAATGTTGCATTTTTTTAAAAGATTAATTGCTCCCCATGAGCTCAATGGCACAGAATCAAGTAGCGAAATGCTACAACAAAATTGCACTCAGCAGCTGAGAATTCATATTCAAAATTTCTTTTTCAGAATCACTAGTGTCCTCCTCATTTGCGATGTTATTCTCCTCTTTCCTTCAACAGGACAATTCTTACAAATGCAAAGATGTGTATCAGCATGTCATTATACTATGTTCAAGTCTACACAGTAAAACTGCAGCATTCCAAAGAGCTTTGCTTTTTTTTCTCATGCTCTAACCTAAGCAAGTGCCTCTGCAAACATTTGGTAGGTGAAGACTCAACTGCACAGTGATGTACAGGATCCAAAGGAACTGTATGTTCCCTTTAGGCACATGGTATCCTTGACTGCCACCATTTTTTATAAAACATGCAGTGTGTAAAATTAATAAAGAGAATCTTGATGTTAAGCCACATATTTGTTCCCCTGCACAAAAATGCACAGAGGGAAATAATACCACACAAAGCACTGCAGATTTTCTGATCACTTCCTCTCCTGGAGCAGACTAAAGTCAGAAGAGAGGAGGTGCAAGCTGAAGAGGAGGGGTAATGTAGATAACTCAAAGAGAGTAGGATACACCTCCCTTTTTTTGCTTAAGGGTTGTTCAAAGTCCTTCAGAAAATCCCTTATCACGCACCATAGGAAGTGCTGGAGACAAACAGTGGTCACTACCCAAGTTTGTATTTCCCAGTTCTTCTTTAAACTGTCTGGACATTTGTCTATCAGTCTGTGCTGGGGGAGGCCAGCAGGCATCTTTGATTTTCACAGGAGACCTGCCTCTTATTCTCCCCTCTCCAAACAAGGCTGGCAACTGTGCTCCCTTTCTCACTGTGCTATAGCAGCACTGTGTCCAGGAAGATGAGGTCTCTTCCCCCAACCCATAATATGCATTTTAGCTCTAGCAATGGTATTTTCACAGAATCATAGAATGGTTTGGGTTGGAAAGGACCTTAAAGATCATCAAGTTCCAACCCCCCTGCCATGGGCAGGGACACCTCCCACTAGAGCAGGTTGCTCAAAGCCTCATCCAGCCTGGCCTTGAACACCTCCAGGGATGGAGCATCCACAAATTTTTATGACAGCTTTCATAAGAGACCACCAAACAGTAAGCATCTCTGTACGTTCTTCTCTAAAAGAGAATGCATATATTCTAAGTAAAGAATAATAATTAAACCATAGCCCACAGATTTTTAAAAAAGCATTAGAAGAAAGAATCAGTGTGTAACTTGCAGTGAAAATGTTTTCAGTAAACAATATTAGCAGATGTCATTGCTTCTAGATTCTGATTCTGCAGAAGAAATGCAAAATTACATTTCCTAGTTAGAAAACAAAACATTAATATTTCAAAGCATTTTAGTTGGCGGGCTGTCTTCTGCTTTCAGTATAGGAAAGATGAACATTGGGCAACCTCGATGACTCTGGAGTTGCTATGAGGCTATTATGACATTTTCTTCACAGTATTTACTTTATTTTCCTTATCGAGACCTGAAAATTATCCTGTCAACTTAAGCTAGCATAATTCTAAAATTGTTCACTTTGTTGATAAGTAAAATGGTTTTAAAATGAGGAATTAGAGGAAAAAAAATCCTTGTTATTTATTCTAATAAATTCTTTCAAGTGCTGCTACGTGCTATCCCATTCTCTATCTGACACACGTTTGTCTGTGATGCAGAGAACTAAATGCTCTTTCATGTGGTATTAATTCAGGACTGGATAACTTTTACTTAGGAAAGGAAAACGTGTTTCATGCTCCTGCCAGCAACACTTCCAAAATGAGCAGATCACCATTCCTGGAAGGACATGTGGAGCATGCAATATAATAATACAGAAATCCCCCTTCCTCAATAAACCCTCAGAGAGAACTGCTAAACTACTGATCACAGAGCTATTGATTTTGACCCTAGTGAAGACTCGTCAATTAGTTTCCAATGGACTCAGCAGGGTGACACGTAACTAGGTCAAAATTAATCACTTGCTGATGGCAAGAATCACAGATTCACACAACTGCCCGGGTATTCATGGCTTTTCATATGTTATTGTCTCAGGCAAAACTATAAATAAGCCTTGCTGAGACTCTTTACAGGGAAAAAAAAAAAAACACCAAACAGCATTCCTCTTGAATAGCTGCATTTCAGCTCTCTTACTGTGATCTTCTGCTTAGATTGACTGTGACAAAGTTCGCTGTGAGATACTAACCACTGTCAGCAAACAGATTCACACAGATGCAGCAGACAAGCAGAAAGCCATGCACAAGACCTCAGCTTCTCCAGCTCCATGGGAAATGATTTCCCCTACAGTATCCAAAAGAATTAGAATATGCTGAGGGTCTGCTCAACAGCAGCAGTTTCAGAGCCAGGCATGCCAGCTTTTTTATTATTCATTCTAAATTGACAGTATCAGCAGCACATGAACAAAGCATGCTTCATAACCATGCTCTCACACCACTAACAGAAATGTAAAAAGGCTAAGCCTTGAGTGCAGGTTTCTGGGGGGAAATGTTCCATACCTGTGTATCTTCTGTTAAGAGTTCAATTGACTTATGTTTATAAATGCTTTGATAATGCTAAAGCATTGAAGAAATCCATGACAATTCTTTTGCGGTTTTCAGTTTTCATTATACATATTTAATATTTTTTACCTGTTGTTTTTTTTTTTCTCTTCTGCTCTCATGAATACAGCTAGAAATATTCAGAAAGTCATAATCCTAAAAAAGATTTTTCCATTTTTGAAAATAGGAATTTGAAAAACTGTTTGTAGTCTTTGACATAGTGGACTTTCATAAAAGAAATAGAAAAATATTTGTTCAGTATTTTTGTTAGAAACTATTGAGTTGAGAACTATAGTTGAGAACTATTTTTGTATAGAAAAATAGTTGTTCAGGCAAATGACAATTTATCATACTATAATGATAATGTTATCACACAATTCTCGTGGTAAGCATGCTTTTACTGGACAAATCAAATTTTTAGAGAAAATAATGAGTTCCAGTTAAATTCCCCATTTAAAACATTGCAGACCTGCACAGAATGCTGCTGCCACACTGCATCTGCCTTTGCTTCAATTCCACACACAGACACTCGTGTGCGCTCTCGCGCACATACGTTTATTGCCTTATATGAAGATGTTCAAAATGGTCCGTTCCTGATATCCAGGAGAAAAACCTAATGATGCGTGCTTTGAGGGAGTTTCGTTGTAAAGGATCTTCTTGACTGCTACTAATACCTTGATTCTGTAACACCTACAACATGCATATTTGAGGAGGTCACACTGAATATATTGTTCCATTTCCTATGTTTAAATATTATTTTATTTGAATGTTAGATGTGATGATCACAGTTTGCATTCAAACAGAAACAATTCGTGTACAATGACTCAGGACTAGATTTAAGCAGAAAAGCAGGACATGAATGCAAATTCAAATGCTTGACATTGAAACACAATTGCTTAAGGTCTTTTATGAGCTGCCTCTCCTGGCTATGTGTTTCTGTGTCTGAAACAACGGTGCATTGCATCTCCTTTAACATACGTATTGTCAAGAGAGAACCATTATGACAACAGAAATATGAACATCTGCCTATAAGTTAATGTAAGCACATGGATTCCAGTCCAGCCGTCCTGAAGATACACATACCTGCACTGAGCCACTGTCTGTGTGCATACCTATGTGCACTTCCGGACATCAAGCACAACAGTATTTGAATACTTCTCAACTAAAATATTTTGGAGCAACAGAAATAGACACAAAGCCTTTCCCCCATTTGCTCCCCTGGAGAGCCCCAGGGACCAGACCGGACTCCCCAGGCCATGTAGTAAGTGCACACACCAATGAAAGACTTGGTACCAAAATGCTTAAGACCAAGAAAAAAAACCAGTAACACTGAGAATTAAAAATACCCTTTTCTGACACTGTGAAGAAGCTATTCTATGTCTCATGAATAATCAAGATAGAGTAAATAGAAAAAAAAATACATTAAAAACAGAAGGGTGAAGCTTCCCCAGTCTTAAAATACTACAGGATCCACTGCAATATCTATACTTACTGTTGTTAAAGTGTTTTATCACTACCTTTACCTTTGGCACATACACAATAGAACACAAATTATAGTGTCAAACTCAACAAGATTTTTGAGACAATTAACACCGATAGTCACTAGCAATTGGTATGATAGGCAACAAGAATGTCACATATTGTTAGTGAAATTCCAAATGTGTATCACCATTAAAACAGAAATGGATGAGAGAAAGAGAGAGAGAGGAGACCCTAACATAAAGACCTTAAACTGTTTCTAGTTCACAGTCATGCTGAAGAGTCAGTCCTACGGGTGGAGTAAAAGAAACCTCATTGTAACAAGGAATGGTGACTGTGTTTAGGGACCTGGTTTGGGGATTCCCGACAGAAGTAGCACTATGAAGGAATGTCAAGCAGAGACTTTGGGGATAAATGCAGCTTAGCTGTCAGACAGAGCACTGCAGAGAATCCACTGTGCAAGTAGTACTGAACAGCTACAGAAAGCACTGATGATCAGACACAGTAATCATCTCATCTCAGAGGAGATGAACCATGGTGCCTCTGCTAACCCAATGCTTCCTTCTAAAACCTCTTACCTCAGTATTCTCTCTACTGCCTCAATTAATCCCAAAATGTTCCATGTTCCCTTTGTATTTGATTTTTTCAAAGAACACTTATTTTTTAAAAAAAGTCTAGGAGAGTTAGCAGCTACTACAAGACACGTACGAGCCCTCTGTAAGCCTGGGACAATTTCAGGGAACTGTAGCATGAAATAATGTCCCATGAAACAGAAAATAGAAAAAATCGTTTGTGACTGCACTGGATGAAGCTGAACTTTAAACTCTTCCGGGTACTACCCAGAATATCCCTGTTTCCCAGTAACTCTTGCAAAAAAACAGGAGTCTCCAACCTTTACTGTGGTAGGAAGAGAGCCTCTACTCTGTAGGAGAGTGCCAGCTAACTGAAATATGAGTTATCTTGTAAGAGACGAAGAAGGTCAGAGACAGGAGAGAAAAAGGAGCAGATGGGTGAGTGATGTGGTTTCTTGGCTTTCATTCTTTTCATTAATTCTGAAGATGAATGTAGTTAAGGTGAAAGGAATAAGTCTGCATTGCTGAGCCAGCTCTGGCAAGGATTCTTCAAGGAGACACTCTGCAACTATGGCTTATTTGAGTGCGTGAGAACCATGCAGAACAGGTACCCATGCAGAACAGCTTAATCATCTCCGCGCACCACAATTAAACAGAAGTGTATCTACCCTTGTCATTAACCAGCAGCAGCTCAATTCAGAATATTGCAAATACACATATTCCTATTTAAGTGCACTTCAGGTGTAGCTCTTAACCTCCACCAGAACTCAGACAGTGGCAGCACAGCGAGCATGGCAAGCAAGCCGAGAGCATTCATTCTCCAGCAGGAAAAAGCACTGGAATAGCAAGTAGCAGATCTGGACACATAATAAGGTGCTTCCAGGTCTGTGTGATGCACCATATGCTTATTCATTTACGGGTGAATTTATAACAAAATTGCAATGAGTGAGGTCCCATCTGGCAGGCATTTCTAATGAAGTCATTCTTTAAGACAGCGTCTCTGAATTGCTCACTTTTAAAAAATACTAATTGCAGAGCTGCATTGCTTCATCCTAGCACTGCCTTACCCCATCACAACCTCAGGCAGTCAGGATTTGTGCCACTCTTACTAGCTGATTTCTGACAGTAAGCTGACTTTAATATTGGCACAGGAGCTTGCAGACTGAGAATAAGGAAAAACAGATTTAAAATAAGCCACATGTAAATGTATGTGCATTCAGAATATGGAACTGGAACAGCCATAACTGAAATGTAGTGAAAAGTAACTTGCACATGGCTAAAGTAGGTGAAAGGCAAGTAGCACACAAATTATTTAGCACCTCTCTCTTTCCAGAGGAGAACAAAGGATGTAAAATAAGAAGGGAGTTAAAAAGACTAAGTTAATAATTACTGTAGTGATAATAGGTAACTGAGATGGCTCAATATAGACCTTAGTTCCACATAAGTGTTATTCTTAGTGCCTTTTATTTAACAGAGTCTGACTTCTATCTAAAACTTTAGTCTAAACATTGAAAAGAAGAAAAAAGTCCACAAAAACTCAACACCTAAAGCACCAACATGTAACTTTTTCATCAATTATTTGCTAATTCAAATTTAAACTTCCTGAGGGTGGAAACAGCAGAAAGCTTTTCCCAACAAATAGCAAAGTCTCCACATTATCATCCTCCCACCTCATCCTCTCTGTCTGGAAAAGAGAAAGGCTTTGCAACATAGACAAACCCAAGATGAATCCATACACTGAGATCTCACAAAGTGTAACACCCTGCTGGCAGTCCCCAATTTAATTACCTAGAGAGAAGTTCCATGACAGCAAACAGCTGCATTCTACTGCCATGGGAATATGGGTTCAAAAGGAAAGAACCTCTTTAATATAACAGAGTCCTGGGCAGATCACAAATGTTAGAGGTCATCCTCAAGCAGAGCACACATTATTCCTGCCACCATCTCTCCACTTCCCATAGCTTTCCCCACAACATTTCAATCTTGTCAAAGCCAATTCTCATCATAAGTGGGGGGGTGTCAAGTCGGGTAGAAACACTACATTAACATGAGGCCTTTATCCCCAGAAAAAATTTAAAGATTTCAACAGCCAGGGAATGTACATTCATCACGTACAATGGCTTTTGAGCTGCAGAAATGGCTTCTATTGCAGGAGAGCCTAGCATGTAAATAAGACATGATCTTATTAACGTGGTATGTTCTAGGACAACTGACATCTTGTTTTGTTTTGACATTTTACAGAAAGTTTACTGAATGGATTATTTTGAAGATACACATTCATCATCTAAATGCTTGTTCAAGCAAATGAGACTCTGACCTCCTTATGACAAGATATCAGCAGAAGTAGCTTAGACACATTTGGTTCAAAAAGGCATGTTAGATCATTCTGAAAAGAAATCTTATTTCCCTTCAAGGAAAGGAATAACAAACCCAGGGCTAGTAGCAATTTTTACTGAAGGACAACTTCCACCACTTCCAAGTGACTAAGACAGACTGGGAAGTGGTTAAAAACATTTCTTCTTATGTTTAATAGGCAAAAATATCAACAGTAATTTGGATTTAAAAGAATGCTGTAGAAACATACTTTTGGGTGCCCTACCCAGTGTAAAATTGTTTACCATCTTTAAACATGGGCCTAACATAAGAGATTTTAAGAAATAATGACAGATAATGTCACTAGAAAAAGTAGAATTGCTTTCAAACTTTGCATTAGTAGTTCAAACTTTCCCCCTGGTATATACACCTAAAATGTGCTCTTTATTTGGTTATCCTATCTATTTCAGTTCTTGCTTGCTCATGAAATCTTCAAAGATACTCTTACCTAACACTGATATAGTACATCATCATCTTCAAAAACCGTAAATTTGTATTAAAGGGAACTAAAATAAATTCTAAACACATCACGGTACTTACTCATGCAAAAATTCTTGGCATACCCAGGAGACTATCACTAGCGTGTCCTAGTTCAAAATCCTATTTGCTTTGGCAAGAGATCATGGATTTTGTGCCGTTACTGTATGACCCATGTTACTGTCTCTTATTATCACGGTCATTAAGTTGTTTGCCCTGCTAGTGCAGATGTGAGATCCCCAGCGTTTCCAAGTGGGTGCCCTGTCCTGGGGCTAGCAGGTGCCTAATGACAGAAGTCCCACAGCTGATCCAGAAGGGACTGCATCCCATGCTCTACACTAGCCTGAGGACATACCCCCAAAAATACAGCAAACGACACTTGTACCTAAATTGCATAACCTCTTGGGCTCAGGGGTTACATTTTCTAAGTACTTCAAGCTCTGTGGACTCTCAGACAAAGTGTTAATCAAACTTACTTGAGCAACACAAGGAAAGAGGGCCTTGGTTCTACTGAGCCTGACTCCATGGACTTAGCAGTGGCTACAGCAGTAAACTGGACTGATACATAGCAACTGTTCTTCAAGGTGACATGAAGAGTCTCCAAACAGTGTCTCTGAATTAATTCTTCCCTTCTTTCTCCTTTCACTGCCATGTCTCCTTACTTTAAATCTGATTACCTTGGCACTCTTGTCAAGATACTTTGGCATCATCCTTCCAGGAAAGCTACATTTTATTTAGTTGTTTTTTAAAAAGTCAGACATTACCTTTTCTAAAGGGCTTTCTACTCGGGGTATGCTGATCACGGGCATCTGGGCCGGATTATCCATATGAGAATGTTCATGTTCTGGTTGACGTCCTCTGAAGTTATTTACCACACAAACAACCTAGAAGAGATTAGAAGATAAATAGAATAGCTGAAGAACAACTCATTTTTTTGAGCTTTGATCCTGACATCCATAATTAGGCAGAACCGACACCAGCTTTAGTCACAGCTTACAGTAGAAACACAGAAATGTGAAGTTCATGTTTTACAGAAAATCTCTAATTAATATTTCAAGACAAAAGATTTTCAACCAATTTATTGTTACATGTGTCATCTGAGAAACAAAGAAAAAAAACCTTCTTACTTAAAAGCAAATCCATTACTGAAGCTGAATAATGGAATACCAACTATTATCAGGAATAGAAGTCCAGAGCACACGCAGCACAATATGGCAAGAACCTCAAATTCCTATGAAGGGACAGTACCATTTAAGTTTTGACCAGCAAAGATTTACTCAAACGGAGTGTGAGAAAGGGAGAATAAAAAGGCAAGGATCATCCCCAGGTTTGAACTGAACTCTAAACCTGCTCAGCACATAAGTGATTCTCACAGAGGGATTTAGGAATGTGATCTATAGCAGTTTTGTTAGTGTTGCTACTAATTCAGACACTCAGCCAAGCAGCAATATTTGCCTGTTGTATTTTCATCAAAACACAACTAAATTTGATGCCATGCTACTCAAAGGAGTTTATGCAATATACATTATAAAACATAAGAAAAAATGCCGGGACAGATTTCTTTCCTATTCTGTTCTCTTTTATGACTTTAAGGTCACAAACAAAATGGAAAACCTTCTTAAAAATGAACAACCAAATATAACTTCTGGACACCTTGTATGGAAGGGAACATTTGGAAGTGCAAGCAGCTATTTTAAAGGAGACCTAAAGTCACCCCCGCATTTTGCAGAGGAGTGAAAGCACCCACCTCAGCCATCCTTGTGAGAGTTCTCAGCCAAGCCAAGTCTTCAGATTCAAGACCCTGAGATCAAGACCTTGAGATCCAAGAATCAAGTTCAAAAGTGTTTTCATGGGGAAGGAATTCAAATGTGTATTTAGTACTATTACAAACTTCCAGGCAAACTTGCAGGCAGTAAACAGCAGCGACTATGCTATGCCATGGTCTTGCACTGAAGTTATCAATGAAGGTGATTAATAGATTAGCGACAGCTTTCTGACACAGACACATTGTGAACTGTGACTAACAATCTTGCTTTGGAACACAGTTCCAGAAAAGGAAAAGGATAAACAAGGATTTTTTGACACAGAATCACATAAAATTTCAATGTAAAACTGAATTAGCATGAAAGAAATTCAATAGGGTTATTTCAAAGCCAGAAAAGAAGCGCTACTTCTTTACTGATCAGTGTAGGTATCACTCTATTGAACTTAATACTTTATACGTTAAATCACGACTAGGTGTTATTCTGAAGGATATACAGTTGCTTAAAGTGGGGCTTGATGCAAAAATTATTGGTTGAAATGCTTCAGTCTGGTTTACAAGGAAATAAAAGAGATCATCTGGTCATTAATTTCTTGACTTCACATTTCTGAGTGTATGTAAATAATGAAATCAATAATTAACTAAAAACAAAAATTAGAAACACCCCTTTTGTCATTTAGTTGTCTGAAAAGTCAAGGCTACTAATTCTTTTTTTTTAAGAGATACAAAATTATACACTGATTTTTTTCAAACAGAAGTGACACAGACATACACTTACCAAAAATACTGCTATAGATATTCCAATTATAAATCCTGCTATTACATCTGACCAGTGATTTCGATACTCTGCTACTCTGTTGATTCCAGTAAGGAAGGCCAAGCACATTAAGCCCAAACACAGAACAGGTTTTGCAAGCCTTGTTCCTCTGGCTTTTACTGTGTTGGTGATATACATCTGAAAATTAGAAAGGAAGAAAGTATAAGGCTAATAGATATTTCCCACTAATTGGTGAATAAAATCTCTACATTTTATTTTAATAGACTATGTCTATTTGGCTTTTTTTTTTTTTTTGGTAAAGAAACCAGAAAGTACAGTGCTACATAAAAGTCACCACAGCCTTTTCACAGAAAAAGAATTAGACCATATAGCAAAATTTCATTTTATATGAACCTGAAAAGCTCCCCCAAAAACAGGCAAATTAGATAAACCTCCTATTACTCCCAATCTATGTACTTATTTATGAAGAGAGGTAGAGAGACTGATTTTTCACTGCACAGTGTTGACAATAATAGAAGAAGATCTTTACCCTGAAAGGGGCTACATCAAGGCCTCATTTTTCTTAGCAAATGCTTTTCTTCCTCATACACAACTTCTCCATGTGATCAGTTAGAGATTTGTCAAAAAGCAGTAAAAAGTTAACTAAACGACAGCATCTACTTTTATAACTAACAGGTAATAGTTTCAACTAGTGCTAAACCAATACACCCCTGTACTTCACTGATGGTGACAGAGGATGTTTAATACCAATCCCCCCCCAGCACACAAACCAATCTAAATGCAGAAACTTTTATGCATCAAACTTAAAGAAATCAATCTGCCCTGCTTGCAGTCTAACTCTCCCTGTGCAATACTACTGAACTAAAAGTACTCCCTGATGACAGTGCAGCTCTTCTGCCCTAAGGGTGCATTAGTGACTACTAGGTTTATGCCAGCACTTTCCAAGCTCTGATCAGCCAATGGAAGAAATGAATACCAAATCTCTGAGTTTCCATTCTCTTGCATCTTGGCATTAAGCCAACGTGAAAGTTCCCCCCTGAAAAATTACACTTCCACTAACAAGATTTTTGAGAAAAAAGTATTTACTTTCTGCAGAAGATGCTTCTGCAATTAAACTACAGAAATCCCTAAACCCTTCCCATTTAGACAGAGCTGAAGTTTTTAGATTGAAGAATGCAAATATTTTCTATGGAGTTTCCATAGAGACTCCCAAGTGCGTAACGCCACCACTCTGAACTGCAAAGAGAAACAGATGAATCTGCACTGAAGAACCAGTACCTTTTTGGCCAACAAATGGGCAGTCCTTTGGGTTTTTTTAGCTGAAACTTCAGCCGAATTTACTGGGTAATCAGTTATGAAGTGCTGCAATAATCCAGTCAGGAAGAAGTTTAGGAACCATGGTTAAAGTTAAGATAAATTAAGTGAAGGAAGTAGTGGTCAGAGCTTGTCTGAAAAGAGCAACATCTGCCAGTAATTTTGTTCAAAACATGAGAGAAAAAAACCATGGCTTAGAGGACAAATCAAAGCTTAAGCTTAAAATCACAGCAGAGCACTACAACACATACACCTTCAGTGTACCTTATGTGATGAACAAACTAGCAGCAAGCTTTCAATTAATGCAGACAAAACAAAGGTTTGAAAAAATGAGTTTTCGGGTGTATCTCCAAACCATATTTCTCCTTTCTTCTTCCGAGACCATTTCAGAAATAGCATTTTTCCATTTGACTTTAGCTCCTTATATTTTTGCAGGTTCTCTTCAGTGAGTTACTCTTACCATGTGCAATGCTGAAAACTGCAGCTTCCAGCTTTTAAGCCCCACTGGTTTTCTTCACACTACAGACAGAGCCTTGCATACTGAGTTACTCAGCAACCCTCTATTTTAGTGAGTCTCATTGTACTCCTAGATACTACACCACTATACATGTTACAACATCTGGTGCTAGGGAAAATATTCTAATATTTTGAATACAGCAAGATCACCAAATTTCAAATACAGCTTGGGTGAAGTTGACATAGGGAAGCTGGCAGGAAGCTATCTTGCATTTTATTCTGTACCATGGCATATGAAATCAAAAGGACTACTGAGAAGGAAAAAATCAACTCAAACAGAGTTGATACCTGTTTAAGGCAGGTATTGGTGATATATTGCAGTTATCTGTAACACCTGGTCATCCCCTAAGAAGATCTCAACTTTTATGAAGTCAAAACACACGATACAAATACTTGACTCTGCAGTACTTCAGTCAAACCTCAACATTTTTAATCCAAAGCTAAAAAGTGCTCTGCAGAAAATTCTCAAAATCTTTTTACAATCAAGCATGTCCTTCAAATCCCTCCTCAGACAAAGCACTGAGTGAGCAGAAACAACTTAAGACTCATGCTGTGCCTCATGTGAGTATTAATAAAGCCCTCCGTTGGCTAAGTCCCTTCCTATGTGTGCAGTCAAGGTTGTCATGCCCAGTCCATTATTCACAATAACCTGAGGGTTCTGCTAGTGTAGGTACCATTTCTATCTTTTCTTTAAAGAACAGACACCACTGGTGTTAAGAATATTATATTAAAATATTATTAAAGAATCAATAGAAACAGGGCAAGCTTTTCCTGAAACAGTGTAGCAAAAAGTCTGTATATTTGCAAAACTCTACCTAGCAAATGTAGACTATTTCAAGGCAGGATTCATAGATGTCCATTTTTAAACTTGACTTCTCGCAGCTCTAGTACAATATAGTAAAACAGTAAACTCGGTCAAAGATCTGATTTGCACTAAGAATAAAATATAATTAAGCAGTTGTTTTCTTCTTGATTCTGGAAGGAAAGCTATAAGTCAGCACAGTCAGTAATTGACAAAGAATAAACATCTTGAAAAGATGACTGCATTTTTCTTCTTTCTTTTTATAAATATTAAATACAGTATCAACAAAGGAAAATAGCGCAGTAATTTAAAACATTAGAAAGAATGAATGACAATATAAATTTTTACATAGCTAAAGATGTTTACTGAACAAGTCCATCTCAGTTCATTTTAAGAACAGAAATTGGGAGAGGAGGAACCTATTTAAAGAAATCTTTCAGTCAACAGCAAGACCAACAGCAGAGATTTTGTATGTAAGGTCAAGGATTGATTCAGAAGTTAGAATTAATTTTGCAGGCTGCACATTCTCCTGCAATATCAGCTCAGTGGTAAGTCTTCTCTTGAAGAACTTCTGCTCTTGCTTTTCCTTTTTACTAAAACAAGATTTTAGTAAGAAAACACATAAAGGTGATACCAGCAAGCAGACACTGGCAGAGTCATATAAGGAGGTGGATGTTATCCGATTGTTCTATATACCAGTATTTACTAGATTTTCAGGAAAACACAAACATTTGACCTTCAGTCTTCAAGATGCTAGAAGTGAAATCTTCAGAGAACCTCATAAATTGAAAGAAAACCTTTAGCTGAAGTGGTTTTGAAAACTTGCATTTGTAAGAGTCAAAACCATGACCATCACCACCAAAGACAAAGTGTATGGTGTCTGGCTGACAGTTAATTTCCCCATAGCAGCCCTCATGGTGCCATGTCTTGCATCAGCAGCTAGAGAAAGGTGTTGATAATACCAGTGGTTTGGCTACTGCTGAGCAGTGCTCACACAGCATCAAGGCTGTCTCCCCAGCAACCCGCCCCAGTAGGCTCAGGGCCCCAGGGGTGGGCAGGATCTCGGGAGGGCACACTGCCAGGACAGCTGACCCAAACTGACCAAGGGGATATTCCATACCATATGATGTCAGCTCAGCAATAAAAGTTAAGGGAAATGAAGAGGAGGGGGGCATTCGTTAACATGACGTTTGTCTCCCAGAGCAACTGCTACGTGTATTGAAGCCCAACGTCCCAGGAAGCAGCCAGACATCACTTGTTGATGGGAGGTAGAGAACAAAATCTTTGTTTTCCTTTGCTTCCACACACAGCCTTGGTATTTTTCTTTATTAAACTGCCTTTATCCTGACCCACAGGTGTATTGGGTTTATATCCCCACAGCAGCCCCCCAGTGCTGAGTGCTGCCCTGGCAGCCAGCAGGGGGTTTATAACACAGCTTGGGAGGGGCGGAGCCGGGACAGCTGACCCGGATTGGCTGTTCCAGACCATGTGACCTCAGCTCGGCCATAAAAGCCAAGGGCAGGGAGGAAGGGGGGGCATTGGTTACTGTGTTTGTCTCCAGGAGCAGCTGCTGCACACACTGAAGCTCTGCTTTCCCGGGAAGTGGCTGGACATCACTTACTGAGAGGAAGCAGAGAATAACATCTATGTTTGACTTTTGTTTCTGTGCGTGGCCTTGGCCTTTAGTTAAACGGCTTTTATCTTGACCCATGAGTTTTTCATCTTATTCTCCCCCTTTATTTTGCTGAAGGGGGAGTGACAGAGGGGCCTGGTGGGCACCTGACATCCAGCCAAGTTTAACCCACCACAACAGTTTTTTTTCATCTTATGTTCTTTCCCCTTGTTCTGCTGAGAAGGGAAGTGAGAGTGGCTTGGTGGGCACCTGGCATCCAGCCTTGCTTAACCCACCACACAAAGCTACCTGTGAGGTTTCTGACATGACTGTCTCAGGTCACAATATAAGGAATAATCATAGTGTTGGCACTTGTACTGGGAAAGCTTTCAAAAGTGTCATGTTGCAAGTCTGACAAGTGAAAAATGGCCTAAATCTAGTGCAAACAAAATCATTCCAATACTATAAGAGAACAACAGGAATTGTATGTCAAGTGCAGGACAAAGTGGCCTCCTGGGCTATGCTGCAAGCTCTTCCTAGTCGTCTTCTTTCAGCTATCTTTAGACTCATCCACACAAATATCTATGTACACAAACACACACAGAACAGGTCCCAGAGTCCCATTTTAGTTAGAGTGGAGGTAGAGTAGAGCTGGTGCACCAGCCAGGAGAGAAATTTATTTTTCTATCTGATTTCATCAGCCTGCGGCCGGGGATGCAGGTAGGAAGATACCCTCTGTGCTTGCTGTTTTGGTCCTCCTTGAAGCAGATGGTCTGGGGGACTGACAAAGAGACAGACCAGTCCGTTAGTGGGCAGAGAATAATGACTCATGACACAACAAGCAGAAAGAGGAAGGAATCACTGTACAGGCACCTATCTCAGGCAACACTTCAAATACGTTATCTCATGCTTTGTTTTGCTTTTATAACGTTCTATCATTAAAGAAATAATCTTGAACTATTGAAGTAATATAAGTAAAGTTTAGATATTCCACCTGAGGAATACACAACTTCCAATATTCATCATACCTACAAGAAAATAGATATTCGGAGATCAAAAACCTGAAAAAGTAGTGAGCTATGGCAGACGGTAGTCTATAATCAGGTTCAATGTTTAGTTAGAATCCTGTTTGACAACCTAAAAGCTCTTCAGCTTCCTTGATTAATAATTATTGGGTCAAATTATTTCTAGGGCGAACCACAGTCATATTCTCAAATCATCTGGGCCTTTCTGCAACTGCCTAGTCAATATTTTTTTTAGTGATTTTGAAGCCTCCTCCAGCTTTCTCCCTAAGTGTTGCAGTAATTATTGATGACCCTAGCCAAAAAAATTGTTTTCAAAGTTAGGGATCTGAGTTGGCAAAAGGAAGAGAAAGCTCTAGCAATGCTGGACTTTACTATTATGTTTCCTACTATGAGCTCCCCACAGTTGTAGGTAAACAACTGCAGAAAGAGGTATCCCTCAATGTACCAGGACTGTAAGATATATCCAAATATTAATTAAAGCTGATGCAGTCTACAGAGGTCATAATCTTGAGCAATTGATTTGTAATGAAGAACTGACTGACAAGAAATATCTAGAGGTCTTTAGAGAACTCCCTGGACCAAATTGTAAAGTTATTTTACTCTCCAGCCTGAAAGTAACTAATACACCAAATATATGAAGCCCATGATATATGCTGTACAATCAGTATCAAGGGATACTTTTACTTGCTGCTCCAGATACTGAAAAGAAATTCCACTTTCCTAACACTGCCCCTGAAAAGCAGCCAAAAGAATCCTTTAACTCTTAAATTTCCTAACAAAAAATGGACAGCAAATCTGACTCAATAAGGTGGCTCTGCTACTCCTTTTCCTCTTGAACACTCCCTAAAGCCTATCAAGGAGAGTCCTCTCATGCCTCTGCCAGCTGCCCATGGAGCAGAAGACAAACAGGTTCTTCAAGATAAAGGAGAGGCAAGACAAGACCTCTAAAGACTGGATCAAGGAATGACATTGAACAGAATATCCCCCTGTTGCCAGCACTGTGACCCAGACTGCCTTGCTGTCTTTTTCCAGTGACTTATAAACAGAGTAAACAGCAAAGACGATACAGCAGAATGCCAGGAGCAACAATCTTGCAGAAAACATGAGCACAGGCCCACCAAAAGATCTGCAGAGAGGAAAAATTTGTCAGCTTTACCTGCTAGCCCTGCCTGAGGCCAAGGGTTCACAGTACAAAGCAACAAGAGCAGCCTACAGACCTAAGGGCTATGTCAATTATCAAGACATTAAACCTGTTTCTCTATCATTACAAATCCAAAGCAAGTCCGAAATGTATGCAGTAACACCAAATTTAAACCATACCCTACAAGACAGGTTGGCTACCAGCTGCTCTTGTCCAACACAACAAGAATAAAACAACAAAAAAAGCAAAATTTTATAGAATTAATTAAAATTTGTCTTAAACTACAACTAGCAATGACCAGTCCCCTAGGTCTGCAGCACCAAAGGACAACTGTTAGTCACAAGTCACATATTTAAATCCATGGGAACAGACTAAGTCTTCATGTATCACTTTGAAATTCTACCAAAAAAAGACTCATGACTTCTCATTTCTGTGTCTCAGTCGTGGAAAAAAAAAAAAAAACAAGTATGTGCATACTTGTCTGCTTCAAAATATACCCGTATTTGTCCAGGCTGTGCCAGCTTACACATATCAAAATGTGGCTTATACAGCTATATTATATTTAACAAACTTGCAGTGTTTGCCTTAATACCTACATTAGCAGATGTTCCAGCTGAGAAAGGGTGAACTGCAATGCTGATAAGAAGTGAAAGCAGCTGCAGTCAACTTATTAACCCAACTCAAGCAAAAACAAACAGAAGATCTAAGACGAGTTGAGCAGACATCTAAGGAGAAATCCAGGTACCAGCCAGTTTGGTTAGAGATTTTGGAATAGATTTACAGTAGTTCATTTTGAAGACTCTGGTACACTGGGAAAAATAAACCTCAAAGTCTGAAGAAGACAGGTAATACATCCTTGAAAGTGTCTGTGTTTGAAGCAAGGTAGAGAAAATGCCTAACCATAGTGCTGCCATTCAACACTTCCATTGCAAAGTCTTTCTTGATAGGTGCTGAGAGAAAGTAATGGAGGCAAACATTACAGAGAGGTCTAAATATTAGCAATACAATTGTTTGAAAAATGGTGT